TAGCAGCAACATCTTCATCCTTAGAGCCTTCTCTACTCCCGGAATCATTATCATCAGAAGAGAGCATTACTTTGGCTTCATCCTCAAGCTCTTTCGCATTATTGATCTCGACAGCAAGGTCAAAGCTGCGAGCGTGAATCTCCTCAAGAGTCTCTCTTCGAGACTGGCACTTGACATGATCGACAACCCAGTATGCTCGAGTCTGAGTAGCATCGACAATTTCTTTTGCTCGAGCTTGAGCGACGTCAACGTCATATTGGTAGACAACTACGATCGCCTCAGCATCGGCCTTAGTCGTCTTAGCATCAGATTTCGCCATTGCATGTTTTGTCTCCAATCGATCCTGTAGCTCCTCAATTTTCTTGACTTGTTCCAAGTTATTCTCTTTCATGCCTTGGAGTTGACTTTCGATTGAGGATAACTGAGCTCGAGCGGCCTCTTTCTCTGAGGCAAGGTGGTCCATCTTTTGCTTCCACACTGTAGTCTCCGCCTTCACCTCATCTACCTCTCCTCGGAGTTGCACGATCATTTCGTGCAGTCGCTAGACCTGTGAGATCGAATCATTAGCCATCACTCCCACACCAAGGCGATAAGCGTCTAAGACTTTATTTACCTGCTCAGTCAGTTTGCTTTGTTCTTTCTGGGCCACGGCCAGCTCAGCTCGGAGGCCTTCGATTTCTTTTTGTTTTTGCTCACCGAGAAGCCTGAGAGCATTTTTCTCCTCGGTAAGCCCTTGAATTTCAACCTCATATCGGCTCAACTCTCTTTGAGACTTAAAGAAAGCCTCATGGTGAATTACCGAGGCCTACACAAATAGAATGAAAATAATTAGGCAAGGAGAGAAAAACACAAGTACGAAGACTGGTGTTAACAAAGAAAGGTAGGGCTTACCCGATTCAAAGCTTGCTGGGCCTCATTAAAGAGACACGATGCTCCCACCTCGCCCATCAGAGCTTGATATTCCTTGGTGACCAAACCTTTAAGGTAACTGGACACCCCTACGGGGGCGAAAAAAACTCGTGCATCCTCCGGGATCGTAATAATGATAGTCCATTTGCACTCGGGATCAACACTGGGGGCCGAAAATTGGCTGGTCAATCTGAAACTCGAGGAAGATTTGCCCAAACTCCTCGTCGATGCTTCCAAGTCATTCAAGCCAGCGACATCGTCGACCCCGACAAAACAACCTTGGAAAAAATCCTCCCCTCCGAGGGCACCTTCTACTTGAGGGGTCTTCATGGCCTGAGCCTCCCGAACTTCCCCTTCCGAGAATGAAGGAAGCAACATAGAGTCTCCAATTACTATTGCCCCAAGTGGGCCACTTGGAGCGTTCTCTTCATTTCGAAGGGCCTCGGATCCGGCCCCTTCGGACATACCCACCAACTGCTCATTTCGGCGGGAGACATATTCAATCTCCAACAACTCATGGACTTTGCCCGGGTCCTCTTACAAGACCCCCTCGGTTCGAGGTGGAATCTTTCAACCCTCACCGACTCAGAGGCCTTTGGGGCCTCGGTGTTCCTCTTTATTCGAGCCACCATCTCGAAGTTGTCGTCTTCATTTTCTTCTTCCTCTCTTAGCTGCTGAACTACCTCCACAGGCAGGGCGACGATGACTTTCTTTGGCTTACGAGCCGGATTTTTCTTGGGCTTTGGATCCTCGGAGGTTGAGATCCTTTTCCTCTTCTTATCCTTCACCGATTTTGGGACCGGGGTTGAAGTCTCCTCCTCACCAGATAGAGGCCTCATCAGCACATCCTTCCCGAGACCTGCAAAAGAAAAATAAGTATGAGGAGAAATTCAGACAACGATCAAGGTTATCGAGATATGCGAAAACTTACCATGGCTTTGGCCTCCCATCGACCCTTCGACAATTTGTGCCATATGCGCTCAGCGTGTCTAAACGTCGATACCAAGCTTCTGACCCAGTTCTCTAGATGGGGAATCACACCCAGCATCCAGGCAACGACTGCACCAAGTAAAACACTGGTATGAAGGGATGAAAAAAGAGAAGATAATAAATAAAAGTTAAAAGGTGGAATTACACTGACGTTTCATATTCCATTTCTCTAGAAATGGCATGCTCTCGGCTGGGATCAGGTCCGAGGTCTTCACTCGGACAAATTGGCCCATCCAACCTCGGTCCGTGTCCTCATCCGTGCTCAAGAAGACCGCCTTCGAAGACCGACGTTGAAGCTTTATTATCCCACCTCGATAAAGTTACAAACGAATGAGATGGTCGAGGGTGAAGGGAAGCCCCTCGACTTTGCTAACGAAAAATCGAAGCAATGTCACTATCCTCCAAAACGAAGGATGAATCTGGCCGAGGGTGACCTCGTACGTCTTGCAGAAGTCCACAATGATTAGATCTAGAGGACCGAATGTGAAAGAGTAGGTGTAAACACTCAAAAATCCGTCCACATGTGTAGTGATTGACTCTTCGGGCGAGGGCACCACCACGTGCTTGTCTACCCAGTTGCAGTCCTTTTTAACTTGCTTTAAAAGGCCAATGGTGATTGTGTATATGTACCTTGACATCGGTTCACATCGGCCTAGAACCGAAGAGGTCTTCTCAACTTTGAAATCAGAGTCAAGGACACACGGTGGAGGAAAGAATTCTTCAGGGAGTGGCTCCGCCGCTGGTTTTTCGCCAGCCGGCTTAGACGAGGAAGCTTTTTCTTTTTGCGGCACAGTTTTGGATGTTTTCACCATTTTGGGTTTGATTTTAAAGAAAGAAGAAGAGAATAAGACTTGGTGTTTTGAGAGAAGGTTGATAACAACCTGGAGATTATGCAGAACGGAAAAACTTAAAAGATGTAAAAAGCTTTGGAGATTGGAAGAAATTGAAAATAAAACTTGAATCAATGAGAAAAGGGCCTATTTATAGGTTTTATGGCAACGATTCGAAACCACTAGTGTCGACCATCAACTGGCATGCATTAAATGCCTAGGGAACTGCACTAACGGGACGTTTCAGTCACATCTGCCGCTTACGTTACAGGAATGACGTCATGACAGGTCTAGGATCGAAGGCTCAATTCGTTTCTTGTCATTACATTCCAAAAAACGAGGGGACTATCTGTATACGCTTAAAATCGAGCCAACCCGATTTTACTGATTTATCGAGACCAGTGTGAAGGATCGAAGATCGATCCCGTAATAGATCGGATCGAGGCACGAGGACAAGGTACCGAGTTCGAGATTTGAGGTACCTGTCAAGATCGAGGTCGGTAGTGATTGAAACCGAATGAGACAGATATCGAGTAAGATCGAAGGTAGCATAATAACAGAAAGGCGAGATATCCGTGACTGGTCGAAGATCATGGCAGAAATCTCGGAACGGATCAAATCAAGGACAATTAACTAGCTAATCATGGGATTTCCTTCTGTAATTAGAGTTATATCATAATTAGGATTCCTCTACTATATAAAGAGGAGTATCAATCATTTGTAAGGCACTTACATTCTGAGATATAAAAGCAATATAACACTTTCTCTTTAATTTATACTCTTTTTCATCAGCTTGCTTATATTTTTAACTGTTCTTATACCAATCAGCTTGAGGGTATTCGAGCTCGAGGGCCGAATTCCCTTCAAACACTGGTTTGCTTTATGTTATTGTCAATTTCTATTATTAATCTTTACATTTATCAATTGGTATTAGGTGAAATCACGTTTTTTTAAAACCACATTATAAGTTTAATTGTTATCTAATTTTAAGGGTAAACAATGAGTACTTGAATTTTCTAAGAAAGATATTTTTTCACAAACGAAGAAAATTGAATTCGGCGTTTTCCTTCGCAAATACCTCAACTCTACTCTATAATTACTAACTTGAATCAATACTTAGACATTTTTATCAACCTTTTGATTTTTATATCCTATTCCTACCAAATGATGGAAAAACATTTTCTTCCTCAATACCAAATGCACCATAAACTTGTCATAAATGCAAAGGAGAAAAACAAAAAAGGTATGGGTCTCCTTGGGTCCTCCATTTTGGTGGTCCTCCTACGTAATACAATTGTAGCAAAGGCATTCGTGAATGAATAGAGCATAGTCTTGTTCAATCTTAAAAGGATGAAAAAACAAAAGGTACAAACAAGAAACAACATTTTCTTTTTCATTTTTTGAAAAGAAAGAAAGAAAGAAAGGAAATTACAGATGCAGCAAAAGAGAATTGACGGGATGAATAAAAAATTGGAACTCTTTTGAACTCCAATTTGGAACGATTCAATCCTGAAAACTGCAAATTTGTTATAGTATTAGGTTGGTCCAAAGGTGACATTAGCAAGTCAAGAACAAAATTCTTCAGGAGATAGTCACGTGTAATTTATGCCCAAGTGCCGTCCATGCTTCGTGCGTGTGGTCAATTTATAGACCATGTGATATATTCTATAATGGAAGTGTCTCTTTCTTCTTTAATTGTTCAACAACAACAACAACAACAACAACAAACCCAATATAATTTTACAAGTGGGATCTGAGGAGGATATTGTGTATGCATACCTTACCACACATTGAAAAGGTAAAGATGATGTTTCCAATAGACCATCGACTTAAGGAAAATAAAACAACAACAACAACAACAACAACAACAACAACAAACCCAATATAATTTTACAAGTGGGATCTGAGGAGGATATTGTGTATGCATACCTTACCACACATTGAAAAGGTAAAGATGATGTTTCCAATAGACCATCGACTTAAGGAAAATGAAAAAAGAGAAAGCAGTAGCAATCTATAATAATATCAGCAAGATAGCAAAAAAATCGAAGCAAAAGAAACAACAAGTGTGTAGCTCTGTTTTATTTTTGGTGTAAAGGAAAACTTTTGGAGGATCATGAATCCATCTTAGATGTCCTAGGTTCATTGTAAGAAGAACTAGGAGGAATAGTGTCCNNAAAAAAAAAAAAAAACAGCAAGCGTGAGCGGGCCTTTTTTTGTTTTGGTTTCTCTTCAAAATGGTAGGTGCTTTTGTCACTCGTGGATTAGTGGTGACCTAAAAACAAATTAGTCAAACTATAACTTATGCTCTTGCACGACTACAGAACAATCAACAATTCTCTGTAGGCTTTACGCGCTTAACAATTTGCCTTTTGTTTTCCATGTTCACTGCAATAACATAGAGATACGTTCAATATGTACAATTATTAGCCCTTTTATTACAGGTTCCACCACTTGCGTTTCTCCATGGCCTTGACAAGCTCACCTGCGAGATCCGCAAAGTTTTCAGCCCCGCTTTGTAGCTCCTGAGTGTTTTTACTGAGCCTCTGGTAAAGATAGTAACAGAAAACAGGAAAGTTTGTAGGAGGGATATCAGAACTTCAATCTCAGAACTGAGTAAAAATGGAATCTAAAGAAGTTACTAGAAAAAGACCGAAGAAGGTTAAAGGCACCTATCTAAAAAAGGGTACTACCTTGAAAATTCATTTCCTAAATCTTTTTTAGAATTTGACTACGCATAAAAGTAAGTGAAAAATGGTGTAACTGAACAAGATTTATATAAGGATATGACAATAGTGTTCTAGTAGTAATAATTTTGAGTATTAAAGTTGATAACAATGTCTAAGTGTTGATTGAAGCAAGTGACATGGAAAACAGTGAGATGTTTGTAGAGGGAAAGTTAACAGACACAATTTTCCCATTTTGTTGTAAAATATCTTGGAGAAACATTTCTAAAACTCAAGGTAACCCAACACTATGATTTCATCAAAGGAAGTTTTTATCGACAACTAAATGCACCCCGAGCAGTTGTAATGTGAACGNATCTTCTCTCTTTAGTATTATTTCACTTGTATTTTTGGAGTGGAATAAAATATTGGTTGTGTCCGAGGAGTAGGCAAAATTAGCCGAACCTCGTAAATTCTGGTGTTCCCTTTATTGTTGTTTTGTTGTCTTATTTATTATTTGGTGGTTGTCATAAATTTTGGTATAGTAGTTGTGACTTATTCACACTCTATACATTTGGCTTCCGCAACGGGTCCAAAGGTGACATTAGCAAGTCAAGAACAAAATTCTTCAGGAGATAGCCACAAGTGTAATCTATGCCCAAGTGCCGTCCATGCTTCGTGCGTGTGGTCAATTTTATAGACCATGTGATATATTCTATAATGGAAGTCTCTCTTTCTTCTTTAATTTTTTCCCCCTTGTTCTATTAAAATAGTAATAATAATAACAACAAACCCAATATAATTTTGCAGGTAGGATCTGAGGGTATTGTGTACGCATACCTTTTGCAAGTAATAATACTAAATGCACCCCGAGCAGTTGTAATGTGAACAAAATTTTGAACTATGCTGAGACAAAGAGGCACTAGTGCCATTGTTTTCAGAGTAGTGTACAGTCGCTAAATTCAAAACCACTATATGATCCAAAAAAGAAAAATCATGGCCTTTCTCCGAGCTTAAGATGAAAACAAATTATGCAGGAGATAAGTGGTGTTCTTGATTCAATTCATTTCCATCAAATAATGACAATAATTACATGTGGCAAGGGGGGAGTCTTTCATGAGGTTGAGTCAACACACTGAAGTTTCTAGCTAACCATCCAATTAAAATTAAGAGGAAGATTGTTGTGATCTAACAATGCCACAAAGTACTATAGGTGTCTAGGCTCATAATTTTGACTCAATGTCATTTCATGGAAATAACTACCACTTTGCTTCAAAATAGAAAATTAAGCAAATGAAAAGATAAATTACAATAGAAATTTATTACTTACATTGTGCAATATACTAGCAGAAGAACAAAAACATGCATTTGAATATGCAGGATGAAGATTAAGAAAACATGCTTTAAATAGACATACCTCGAGTTTCTCCTGACGCTCAAGAAGCTTATCTTTTGCCTCCGCTGCAGCAGAGGCAGCATCCTACAAGTAATGAGCAAGTCAGTAAATGCAAATGCCCAAACACAGTTGCTCATTGTGAGATATATTTGTAGGATAATATTACCCCCTTGTTTCTATATTTAGCAATGATTTCTTCACGAGTTCTTTGTCGTGGCTTGGCATCACTAGTACCACCTTCCAATAACCTGTCTCTATCGGTCTCCTTTTCTGGATAAGTGGAGTAAACCAATAGATTCTATTTACTGTGTAGCAATAAAAAATACCTTTTCTGAAATCATCACTGCTGAGAGATGATGAACAGGTTCATCAATTTCAATATCATCTGTAACAAACGAACACAGGCAGTTAAGAATCAATCTGTACTAGTAAGTGATCTTCAAGGGCATCTCCCCGATCCATTCTTCCCGGCGCTCCTCAATTAGATCCATAACTGTTGTTGCTTGTGCAGGAGTAACTAGAGAACTTAAAATTGCAATAAAGTTGTCAACTAAGAAAGACCGGAAGTCCATGCGAGCCGGGCTGATATTAACCAAAAAGATACCCTCCTCGAAAGGGCCTGAAATCAAAGACCCAGTCAGGGATAGAGTTGAGAATGACATTAAACTGGATGGTCCTCTTAGACTGGCCATCGGTCTGAGGATGGAAGGCTGTGCTAAAACTCACTCTGCTACTCAAAGCCTTCTGTAGGCTCTGCCACAAGGCTGAAGTGAACCGTGGATCTCTATCTGATACTATGGATGATGGTATCCTAGGCGCACTATCTCATCAATATGGACCATAAACTTTTTCAAGAATGCGCATAGTAGGGCTAGGGAAACTACCTAACTTCAGTTCCAGGCTTCCAA